TACCCCTGCCGCTCGTGTCCTTCTCAGAGATGTAATGGCCCTGCGCTGGCGGTGGGACTCGGGAGACAAGAAGTGAGGAGGGTGGCCTTCCTGCTCTGCGTTTAGCACACAACAGATCCCCCATGGGAAGGTTCTGGCTTTCAGTCTCTGGCACCAATATGTAAAAAGGCTAATTCAGATGCCTGACCCACAAGGACCTCTGACCCACATATCAACCTTTGTTTCCATCATGAAGGCTGAGCACTTAGTAATAAGGGAAAATGTCTTAAAAACCAAGATCTATAAATAAATATTGAGCCTAGAGAGAATATTCTATAAGAGACTTAAAAGCGGGATCTTTCTTTAGAAGGCAAGAATAAAGAAGCTAAAGTATTTTGTTGCTCCCTTGTGGACAAAGCCAGTACTGCTGGTGGAGCAGAATCATGCTGCCCATGTCAAGAGGAAGATGCATATTCGAACGTATGGAAGATGGAGAAGAATTCATCTGATTTTCAGAGGCTGCATAGATATGGTTGGGGATACAACTTCAGCAGTAAACACCAAAACTACGCCACACGGTTTCTTCCTTTTTTACTTTTGGAGCAAGTCTAATGAGTTGAATAATGAAGCACAGAAAAGATATTTCTAGGATGGGCTGGAGCTTCTAAAAGAACAAAATATTTCCCACCAGCTTCTGAATGCGATTAAACGCAGCCTCAAGCCCTACGCAGAATGTGAGTTGGTGTCTCTGGCCTTGTGATCACACGGTCCCTTTTCACCTGTCCAAGTCAGGTAAGAAGGAAGCTGTGTGTGCTCAGAGGAGCTGGATATTTAGAAACAACTTGATTCTTTGGCACATCCGCTCTAGAGACAGGCTCTTTGGTTGATCAAAACCAAAAATGCAAGTTCCAGATTTCCTTCCAAAGTTAAGCAAAATTCAGCTCCTACCCCTTCTTGCCCCATCCCCAAAATCATTTTCAAGTAATTTGTAACATCCCTGATCTCACCAGGGAAGCTCACATGGTGTGAAACTAGAAGGTGGAGGAGATACTTCTTAGAGGCAAAGGCCCTTTGATACTCGTGCCAAACGTCTCCTACGTACAAAGACATGAAACAAGCCAACAGTCTGTCTCAGGGATGTGGCTCCTCAGGTGTGAGCGCCCCCCTCCCCCACTCCCCGCACGGCTCCCACTGCTGTGCTGCCTGAGAGTCCCAGGAGAAAAGCCACAGATTCAAAGTGGTTACTTTAGGTAGCCAGTGACCACCTAAAAGAGGCAAACTTCTAGGTTTGGGGACTATCAAGGCATACTAAAGCAAGAAGATTTCAAACAGCAAGAAACTCTTGTCACTTATTTCTGTAGAAATCTACTTTTTGCATTTTGTAAACGAGTATTCCCATTCCAAACAACCAGTGACATCTTCAAATGTCTTGAATTTATTCATTATCAAACATAAGCATTCTCACAATATCACACTATCCCACCATAACATACTGTCGCCAGATAAAAGAAACAAGAATTTATTAACAGCTGCCTTCTTAGACTCCCACTTCACGTGGTTGTTAGTTAGCCTTGAAAACCTGAGTATTAGTATCATCCACTTTAAGGAAAGAGGCATGACGTTTTAAGTCAGAAAGGAAAAATTTCGACTAAGGCCAAAATACTCAATAGCTTTCATTCACTTAAAAAAAAAGCAATCTAATTTCCTCATTTTAATGAGGTCTATTTGTTTTCAGTTTGGGAGGAGAACTGAAAGGGAGCAAGACACCTGTACGCAGCACGAACTGCAGTTCTGACCGTGAAAGATGAGCCAATCGCTACAATGTTTTATCAGTAAGGTGCTCATATCACATGGAGAACACACCGAAACCTCCTTTTTATGACATCCTTCATATACTACGTATCAACGATATTTTAAAAATTAATTAGATGTGAACAAGTAGAAGAGAGTAACCGGAAGTTTTTGAGGGACAGAAGGATGAGAGAGGCAGATCAAACATCAGTAAAGGACTTCTGATAAACCCAGAGAGCAATTTTAAATTGATTTGACTAAAGTAACATTATGGGTACAACCTGGCCAAATGTTTCTCGAAGAGAGAGCGCGTATCAGAACAGGGCATAGCAAGAGCAGCAATCTAGATCCCTTAATCAGAAAGGGGAGGCATTTCAGGAAGACTAAGACGAGAAAAAGATGTTCAAAAGAGATACTCAATGACCTTTAATTTGAAAGGAACATCTACTTTCTGGTGAAAGAAAGGAACATGAGCAGTTAAGATAAGGATAAAGCCTTTCCTCACTAGAGATGTAATACGTGAAGAAATAAGATATACATAAAAGTTTAAAACGTAATCTAAAAGTGACATGGGGGAACAAAACAGAAATACATAAAAAATTCACATCCAAGGTTTTAGAGCTAGTTTGTAGAGACAAATCAATTGGAATAAGAGTGAGTTCCAATACTCATGGAGGATGAATAATCAGAGGTAGGATTTAGATCAGGAAAAGAATGTTCCATGATGCTGGCTTTTTGAAGGCACTCAAGAACAGAGTGAGAGAGACTGAAGCTGCAGTGAGATAATACAGGACTAGTGAGAGATGTACACGCACTAATCTGTCATAAGGAAATAAAAACAACTCCAGGAACACTATGACGAGACATATATTATCAAGTTATACACAGAGTCTAACAAGGTAGAAATCCGCTTTGTAAGTAGCTTCTTACAACAATATAGCTTCTACTTAGGGAATGAGAAAGAGAAGTTTGTTTTCCCGATATGCAATTCTGCAAAATAGTTTAATGAAAAAGTTGATAAGTGGTACATTATCTAGTTCTTTAAACACATTTACTGAGGCTAAGGCTTCAGAGCTGGGACAACCAAGGAGTTTGATTTTCCTTTGAATCTTGCAAAACCTATCCTCTAAGACAAAAAGATCTGATCACAAAGTCTATAAAAAGTCTAGAGAGTATAAAAGTACAGAACTATGAAAGTAGATATATCGATGGCAACTTTTATGGCTTCCATAGAAAGTGTAGAGAGGATCTCTGGTTTGCTTTATCGAGGTAGCGTCAGGGTTGGAAGGTCATTGTTATGTGTTATAAACACTACAGATGACAGAAGCAGGTTAGCTAGGGTGTCGCTAGTACATAATAATGCCAGTATCTCTAGTGGCTAATGACCTTTCATTCCTGAAAAAAATGATCTTTTGGGAAATTTCCTATCTTGGTTTAGGTAAATGAAAATTAAAACCCAATATTTACTTGCTCAATTTTATAGTCTGAAGAATTCCAAGTGAGTTGATTTTTGTAATGGGAGATAGTTGATAAAATTCTTAGGTGTAACTCATCCCTTTTTCATCAAATACTTCCCATACGGTCTGCAACAGCATCGAAATGTTCATATGTGGATCAGTGATGTAATACAAGTTGTCTCTTCTATGCAGTAGCTCAAACAGATGGGTTTCTCTAATTAGTTTTCTTCTCTCTCTCTCTCTTTTTAAACATTAAAACCCCACCTACCATTCTGTGTTTCACTAACGGAAATCTTCAAGATGTGGTAAATATAATACACGTCTGCAGTGGATTTCTATTTCTGCTTGATTTTCTTAAGATTTAAAACTTCCAGTGAAATAAAAATTAAGCTAAACAAGCATATCCATTCAAAAAACATAAAAAGTGAAAAAAATTTCAAGAAGTAGAAAAAGTGTACAAGTATCTCTTCAGAGTATTTTGCCTCCAGTTAGTATATAAGGGACAGTCAAATTACAGGGAGCATTCTAACCACGATGAAAAGGTACTTTCAACCAACGTAGTTTTACAAAAGATGGTACAACTGTGGTAATATCCACGCTCAGTCATTAATTTAGAACGGTTAATGGAAAAACGGCAGACTGTAAAAGTATACATAACTGATTTGCAAAGGTTACTTTGAACTACTGTAGTAAAGTTTTATGTGGAGACTTCCCTGCTTGCTAAAAACAAGGATCAAATCACAAATATACACGGAAAGGAAGCCACGTGCTTTTAAACCGTTCATCTTATTTTCTTCATTCAGATGTAAAGTCTGACTCAGTATGAGCCCGCCCCACTCAATTTGAGAAAGCAACAAGCAGCCTTTCATTCAGGCTAAGGAAGAGTTTATATCTGAATGATAAATCTATGAGAAAAGAATAGAAAAGTGCAAAAAAAATTTAAAAAGCAATAGCAACTCAAGCTGGGAATTTTCAAGTCAGTCTTAACTCTAGCAATGATACAAGCCTTTGAAGACAGTAGAATTAAGTCAGGAGAAACAGCCTCAATTTGGTATCTACGTAATGCTGAAATGTGGCCTTTGTTGTCTTTAAAATTTAAGTACAGATAAGGGCTGAGAACTCAAACTCCTCCCCAGTTCTTTTTTTCATAAACAGATAACAAGTAGTTAATAAGTTTTGAATAAGTCACAGGGTGCTGTACTATAGGTGGGAGGGAACACACCATGTATAAATGCAACTTTTATTTTAGTAAAGGACCCCAATCAAAATTTTAACCCTGAGTTTGAGTCTTAAGCGTGTTAAACCTGATGCACGTATATGTTTAAGGCTTAATTCTTCAGTTCTTCTATTCAGAAGCATTAATGGTATGAATATTCTTAATGCATTTCATTAGGCATATGTCATATGACACTGGTGAGGAGTCATTATATTCTGAGCAGTCTTCCCGAAGACCACAAACCCCAAATCAGGGAGGGTATGCTTATCTAGGGAAGAAAAATTGGAAGTTTCCAGATTGTTCCACAATACATTTCACTAAGAAATGTACTGTTTGACAATGCTGATTTTTAAAAAAAGATAATCCTTTCTTTGCTTCTGTTAAGGGTGGTGGTGATTATTTGCTTAATATTGGTTTTCCTATGTAGTAGATATTTTCTTATGGCTATATTCACTTGAATGGAAAATCAAATACGACTACCTGAATTTTCCAGTGTGTAATTATAGTACACCTCATAAAATGGTTGATTCAATGGTCTCAAGTCTAGAATTCAGAACTGCTGCCCAATATTGTAAATTTATTTAGAACAAAATAAGGTATAACCAATTAACTAAGCTGTAATTTACATCTTAAACATCATTTTAATATTACAAGCTTGGACATGAAATAATGGTATGTCCACACATATACCACACATGGTATATCCACAAACTTGTCATGGAACGCCAAGGAGACTGTGTGAATAAGGGGAGGCAGCCACTAAAGATATAACAGTCATAAATAAGGAATTAACTTTTCTTATTGGTTTGGGTACTTGAGTGTTCCAAGAATGTATACAAATATTTAAAACCACATTCCTTAGAAGTTAATCCAGAAGCAGGAAAAGTATGTCTTGAGATACTTTTCCACCTCATTCCCAAATTCTCCTATGCTCATTATAGAAGACAAAGGCAGTAATCAGAAGGAAAAAATCTGGAAATATTAAACCAAAAAGCTAACAGAGAATGCGATATTTTAAAAATAGGGACTTAACCTCAATGGAAAGAGTTCCAGTTTTCCTACCACAGAGCTAATCAGCCAGAAAAAGTGCTGTAAGTCTATCTGCACACTTAATATTAAAAATAAAAAAATAAATAAAAGTCAGGGTTCTGATTCAGGCAAAGATTTAAAACCTTGAGGAAAGAAAAATGAAGAAATTTCAAGATTAAAAAAATGAGGGGGAGAGAGAGAGAGAGAGAGAGAGGGAGAAAGAAAGACCTCGCTTTGAAACTCAGTTCGCTGAGATGAAAAATTACAAAATTTTTATCTACACTGAGTCTGGATAAATGTGATCAGTTAAATATAACCAATCCGTCAGCCCTTCTGTTCAGCCTTTCTTATAATGAGCTCCTGACTGACCATGCTCTTTAGAAGTTACCCAAACTCTTTCAAACCTGCCCCATTTGCGGCTCTCCTTATCACCAAGAAGGCTGCTATCACATCATCGCTTGCAGAGGACAGGGCAGCAAAACGTCGTTTTCTCCCTCTCACCACAATTTAAACTGTGTTAGAATAGCTCGAAGTTGTGACTACATCCATGGATAGAAGAGACATTTTAAAAGTCATAACCAATTTGTGTTCTTATCCAAATTTCTCAGCCGCTATCAGGCAACATCATGTTTGTGATTTTAGTGTACTATTTTATCTTTTTGTGACAATTAGAAAAATAAAGCAACCTTAAAGTGAGCAGTGTATTAGGAGACTTCAGTTGGTCGTCCCACAGAGGCTGAACCTGAACACATTTCTGGGGGAAGCGAGACGTGACTGAGAGGAAACAGCCTCCGCCACCTCCTCCTCTTGACGGCGAGCAGCTTTACTCAGATTTTCAAAACAGGCCAGCTTCAGGTGACCTCCCTGGAAAAGGCTCAACCCTCTGCAAATCATTCCATTCAACGTACTAACTGAACCGAACGAAACATAGAGGACACAGCATGTCCGTGAGCCTAACAGGCCCCCGAGTGTTAAGCAGAGATTAAAAAACTACCAAGGACTTATGCCAGATTCCGAAAGCAAAACCTCATTTTCGCAGTAACCTGGTCTGGAGACCCTTTCAGATACATCTAGTCTCTGAAGCACCTTTGAGTTGTACGGATGTAAGAATAACTTTGAACTATAGAAGTTATATGCATCTTTAAGAATCACATTTTGATGATTATAAAAATTTTTTCTATTTTACAACATAGGTCCAGCTACACTGAAAAAATTACACTGCTTATTGAAATACATTTCATTTTAGAAACAGACTACTAAAGAAGTCTATACAAAAACTCTAAAATAATTTCTGTAGTAAAATAAAGAGTGCATTAGGAGAGCTACACAAAGAAGAAAATTTCTGTCTTTCTCTATAATGCTTGATATACTGTGAAACATGGCTAGCTCGACTCCGAAGCCAGCACCGAAAGCTGAAAAGAATGTTACGATACACAGTGATACAATTAATGCTCTGGATTAATGTCACAGCCTTCCCGATTAGTACAAAGGAAACCAGGCCTGTCCCCTCTTTGAGGAGAAGTCCAGGATATAAAAGCAAGCATACCTCATCAGCTGATATGAAATTATAAAATTCCACAAGTCTGAGTATTTGAAATTTATAAAAGTCACCAGAAAATGCAAGCAAATTGGGCTTTAGTTCGGTGGTTCCCTGGTTCGACAGTTCCCTCCGTGAGCTCAGGGTCTTCTCGTCCACTCCCTCGGATGTGCCGATTCACCAAGACAATGACAAAGCTCTGGGTGGAGGCTGAGGAGAGTCTGACAGCTACAGAAACGCTCACCAACCCCCACTCTGCAAACTCACACCGGGGGCACGGAACTCGCGGAGAACACGTTTAAGGAGATGGATGTTAGTGATGCTGGGCTGAACTGTTCTTCTCTGCCAGGTGCCGCAGAAAGGTGTCCTCACCCTGGCCCCTGTTATTTAAAGGCTCACTCTTAAAGAGAGCTGGAGGTGGGGGGAGGTGAGGGACTGGGGGGATAGGAAGGTGGTGTGGGTGGTGAGGGTGTGCGTGGATGTGAAGGTGCGAGAAGGGGTGGGGCATGGGCCGAGGGGTTAGCGTGCTGACGGGGTTCATGCTGATGGGAGGGGCGGGGGTCGTGGGGGTGCTCCCCACAGAAGGAACTGGGGTGGCCGGGGAGGTTGTGAGTGGGATCTGGACAGCAGGCGGCACGTTCACGGGGCTGGTCACCCGAAAGCACTTCTCCTTGTGGGCCTTAAGCATGTTGGAGAAGCGGAACCGCTGGCCGCACACGTCACACGGATAGGGCTTCTCGCCTGTGTGAGTTCTGCGGTGCCTCTTCATGTTGGGGCGGCTGGTGAAGCTTTTGCCACAGATTTCACAGATAAAGGGTTTCTCTCCTGAGACGAACACAGACACAAAAACAGGATTAACACACCAGGCGGCAAGTATGTGCCCCAGCTATTCCTCATCCTAAAAAAGGAGGTTACCGCGCCTCTCCCTTATGGCATATTACATTCTAGTAGTCATAAAAGCGTTCCCCAAGGTTGGGACTTCACAAAAAGGAGCAGATACAACGAAAACTTACTTACAACCTACCATCTGGGCTTGGTTAAAAGAACAAAAAGGGCTTCTACAGTAGTGATCTTCCACATCCTACAGGACGAAGTGTTCAAACGGCTTTCCTGTGTTCCAGGGAACCAAGCCCACAGATGAATCTCTGCCTCTAAGCATAGGCGAGCTGATCTGTGAGCAATTTCTGACATTCCAACCCAGAGTAGGACTTTGCTGAAAATGTCTTGGGGAGGACGTAAGTCTCCGCACGTCTACTCGAACGTAATCCTTAGAATGCGGCTTACGCTGTGCTATCTGGGGAAATTCTGGACTGACTCACCCTACAACACAGATTTCGCACCACAGTGTTTCTCTGCAGGCGGCTCTCCATTACGTGGGGCTGTCTGTACACCTGAAGAGCGCTCAGCGGTCCTGGCGCCAGACTACTTATATGCCCCCAAGAAATTCTGACCATCAAGAATGTCCCCACACCATTTCCAAATGCCCACGGGTGTGGGGAGGGTTGAGCGGCAGGCTACCGTTCTTGGTGGAGAACCACTGGGAAAATGAGCCAAAAAGGAAACAAAACCCCCTAGTTCTAAGGGCACTTAGGGAGGATTTGGGTTTGGGTTTGGGTTCTAAGGGCTTAATTTTTTAACTTCCTAACTTTCCTTTGGGCTTACTGCTTAGTTCTATGCTATGTCTGCCTGCCTCTCTCCCCAGGCCATAGGGAGAAACAAAATGATGTCTGGACATACACGTCCATGGTCACTGCATCCAGAATGCTGTGGTGCGGTGCGGAATACCTGTCCACGTGTGCTTCAGTGACCATGTGCTTGTATTTAGCAATTCCTTCACCAATGCTCAGTGAATGTCGCTTGTATCTCTACTGTAGCTCCTGCTGCAAGAGTTTGCTCTCACTTCAATGATTACTCCCTTTGTTTCTAACAGGTGTCCTTATTCTACTCTGTATAAATAAGAGCTGTTGTGTATGGAGTCTTACTGTGTGCTTGGCACTGTTCTAATCCCTTGATACCTTATTAACCTCTGGTGATCCTCACAGCCTTATGAGGTAGGTACGCTATTATCCCTATTTTACTGATGAGGAAATCAAGAAACTTGCTGGAGGTTCTACAGTCAGTGGAGAGGCAGGATTTAAAACTCTGCAGTCTGGCGCCAGACACGTAAAACGACGGCGCTTCACACCTCAACGTTCTGTGCATTCCTGAACACACAAAGGAATGTTATTTTCTTACTGTTTTCCTCCACTTTGGGACTCCTTCTAACACTACGAGCAAACTCCCCTTTATCCATATTGTAGTCCTTATTTCTTCTCTCTGCCTTTGAAAACTGACATCTCCTGTTGCTTCCTTCCATGGAAGCCAGACTTTTCCTCACTTCCCATGAGAGACTGAATCGAACCGTCAGGGGGGATCAGTTTTCTCCATAGTTACCGGTACTATTTGCTGACTATAATATTTCTTTTATCTTCCTACCTTTCGTTATTCAATCACTGCCACTGCTAGGCTCTTCACTGTGATTCACACACATCTTTCTAGATAAATTCTGTCCTGGCTTGTGTTCCTTCCTTTTAATCCATTTCCTCCAATTAAAAACTTCAAATTCTATGTTAAATGGAATTGATTAAATCAGCTGTGGTATGCCCAGCTAATGGAGAGTACCACTAAAAACAATATTATAAAAGTATAGAAATGTAGTTACTGACATGAAAATCTATAATCTATTATCTATAGTCCATTAAGTAAAACAAGCAAGTTATGAACACGTACGCATGGTATTATCCATTTTTAATGAAAAATACGTGTAGGAACATATGGAAAGAAATACAACAAATGTTACCAGTGATCGTCTCTAGATAATGGGATTATGAGTGACATTTTACTCTATTTTTAAATTTATTTTTATTTATTTATTTATTTTACTCTATTTTTGATGCTTATATGTACTTCCTGTTTTCTAAACTAAACAGGATTTACTTGTATAATAAAATGTTTTAAAAGCACACCTGTTTGATAACCTATCAATCCCCTTGACCCCTTCCTCCTTGACTCTCCAGAGTTAACAGTCTTCATTGCTAACAGCCATGCGGAACCAGAGCCTAAGGACCTAATGTTTGAATTATTAGTCTAATACAAGCAAACATTCTCCACTTAATTCACTAATCACTTCCTAGGTTCACTAGACACTTTATTCATTGACAGTTTACTTAATGTATGGACATGTAACTTTCTGTTATGTGCTCAAACCCGGATCCAGTCCTGGATCTCTCTCATCATCCATCTCTCATTTGTAGTCTTCTAGGCTATAATGATTTGCCGCAGAAAGACTAAAAACTATTAGAACTGGCCTACCATAAATCCATGTATTCAAATTTAAATGGGTCCTTTTAACTACTTTTACCCATTTCTTGATGTCCTACCAAATTTTCCACATTTGTTACTCCAGACATAAACCCACCTAACTCTAACTCTCATTATTCATGAGGTCCCATCTCCTAACTGTGCTAATGACTGATGATAAGGTTTCCCTGAAACCTCAAGGTAAGATTACAATGAGGCTGAAACAAGGAAAAATCAAAATGTAACATTTGAAATCAACCACCTGCACAATGTCCCACTTTAAGGAAGTGCTAGTAAATGGGTGGCTGGAGGAGGTACTAACAGCTAAGTCCATCAAGGTAACTAGAAAGCACGTATGTCAATACATCTTATGATGTAACCTAACTGTTACATACAGATAAAGCTAACCTAATGATAAGAAACGGTACTGTAATGAGTCTGAAGAACGCACATAACAAATGAAGACAGAATCTGCAGGGAAGATAGAAAGAGCAGGAATTCGGCTACTTAGCTGTCTTTTGAACTTTCAAAGGAAAAAGTGATCTGGCCAATGAAGACAAGCACCCCAGTCTGCTTATGAATATCCTGGAGCAGCATCAGAAATCTGTGCATCTATATATCTGGCCTACCATCACGTTACAATCGTTCACCTGGATTACTGCAATATCCACCCGACTGGTTTCACCACCTCTATTCTTGCTCCCCATCCTCCAATCCACTCTCCACACTGTAGCCAGAGCGACCTTTCAGATGTGTCACGTTCTGCTTAAAGCCACTGAAGAACGTCCCACTGTCCTCAGAATAAAGCTCAAACTTTTTTACATGGCTTATTCTGTGATGCGGTACTTGCTTACTGCTCTCCAGTACCGTGTCTTATTATACTCCCTGCCTCTCCTCCTCCCCCCATCCATCAAACTCTAACCAACTTCATTTAGTGGTACTTACTATGCTCTCATCACCAAACCACTGTTATGCCTTGCCTGTCTATCACCCCAACGTGACTATAAGCTCTGTGAATCTAGGGACTATTTCAGTCTTGTTCGCTACAGTAGCCCCGTTTAGTAGATTCTTGATTAATATTTATAAATAAGTATTAGTTAATTCTAAGACATGCATTTTCCCCCAAATATTTACATCTGTGAAACTGACATACACCATAACCATCGGTGACGTGTCATTCTTTAATTTGCAGCATTTTCTTAGTGATAGATAAATGAGGTTTGTCTTAAAACTGATGGCTTCTTGGATTCCATGAAGGATGGTACTCACAATTAAGATCACTCAGTTACCTTCCTTTGCTGTAATTTTCTGTCCCTGATGATCTTGTGATTATAATTTAGCTTCTCATATAAATTTATTTTAGGCAAAGAATATTCAGACCAAAGAACATAAGAGTTCGGAAGCACTTGTCACTCAGGCTTTTCACTGTAAATTAGCAACTTTATTTATATATTATTAAGATTGTTTAGCACAGATCAATCCCTCTGGCCCTCATCTGCTTGGGTACACTGACAGATTCTGGAAGCTGAGAACCAGACTCTGGGGTGGTGCTCTTTGCCCTCATGATGTCCTGCGTGTCCCTCCATTTTATTACTTGCTTCATTAAATTTGTATCAGAGTAACTAAGTGTGTGTTTCTGGAGTCAGACTGCCTTGGACAAGTTCTTTACTCTCTGAGCCTCATCTGAAAAATGAAGATAATAATAATAGGTTATTGCAATAAGTTAGAAATTCGAAGAAAGTGCTTAGAACAGTATTTGGTACATGGCAGACATTCAGTGCATTTTAGTGCTGCTATTATCATCATCATCATCATCACTACCACTGGACTGTAAGCTCCTTGAGGGCAAAAAACAGGTCTTAATTCATCCTGTATCCCTCGGCACTGAGCACTGTGCCTGGTACAAAGAGAATCAACAATTATTCTATGTTGAACTCACCCCATGTCCACACCATCCCAGGAAACCCTGCCTGAGGGCTGGTCGGCTTCCCTAGATAAGATCTACCTCACTTCTCTTTAACTGCAAAGAAACAGCCCAATCAGTGTCAGTTCCTGCAATGGCCTTAACCCCCACCAAAACATACTCTAAATGTGGTTTCATCCAGCCTTAAAAGACCTATCCCTTTTCTTCTTTAAAAGCTAACCCTTCTCGGATCCTTTCAGGTACTATTGTAATCCTTATTTAGTACCAAGGAACCAGAGGCCTACAGGGGTTGCATAATTCACTTAAGGTCACACTGCTAGTGAGCGGCAGAGCCAGGTGTGTCCAACTCCACCATCCAGCGCTTTCCCAGTGTGAGCATTACAAACGATACTAAAAGGCAGATGCAAACCAGGGAAAAGGATTTTAATATCGGTGTTAGACAAGGTCCCATATATATAAATATATACAAAGAGCTATATATATAAAGAGCTATCATAAACAATAAGAAAAAGCCAAACACTGCAATGGCAAGATGAATACAGAAAAGGCACAAGCAATTCAGAAAAGAAAATATACTGATACCCAACAAGCATATGAAAAAACATGTTCAATCTTACTTAGCAATTAAGTGCAAATTAACACAGTAAGAAACCATTTTTCACCTATTAATTCAACAATGATTTTACTTAGCATTGGATAGGGTTGGGAAAATGGGTATTTTCACGCGCAGCTGGTAAGAGTGTATGTGGATGGCTATCTTGCAATACATACCACCAAGTCTTAAAACTATACACATCCCTTTGCCCTAATAATCCCATTTCTAGGAATTTATCCTAAGTAAATAATCATGGCTGTGTTAGCCACAAAGTTGTTTGTCACAGTATTATTTATAACAGTAGAAAAATTGGAAACAGAAATCATCTAAATGTCCAAAAGGGAACTGGCTAAATAAAATAAAATAGAGAGAACATCCTTAGCAGGACCACCGTAAAGGTGATACTGATTAAATGAGATAATGTATGTAAAGTATTCAAGATAGTACTCAGCACACATGTGCCTAATAAATGATGGCTATTATTACAGCAAATTTATAAGAAGGACTATTATACAACCATTAAAATGATATTACTGTTAATGACATAATACAGTAAAATAAAAAGCAGGTTGTAACAGAGTGTAAAGACCCAACTTTTGTTTTTTTACTATATACATGAACGTATAAACACTTATGCATAGTATCTATATGTATATTAAGAAACTATAGAATTAAAAAAATATGTGCTAAAATGTTAACAGTAGTCATCTCTCATTGATAAGATGATAGATCGTTTCAATTTTCATATTTTCTAATATACTTTAATAAGTATGTACTACTACTTTTAATGAGAAAAATAAAAACTTAAGTGAATTTAGGTGGCTGTACTCCTTTAGAAGAAACAGGGAATGTTCAGCTTGCCTATTTGGTCAAAGAAGAATACTTAACATAAAGTTTTATTCAACTTATACATTAATCACAAAATGTACACTTCAGTTTCATATTATGGACATTCAAGGGCCTGAAGAAAGAAAGAAGGACAAAGGGGAAAGAAGAAAGAGTAAGAAACGCAGAAGGAGAAGGAGAGAGGGGGGACCCGGGAGGAAGAAGCGCAGGGAGACGGGCAGAAAAGAGAAGGTGAGCGCAGAGGCTTAAGTGGTGGAGGTTCCTTCCAATCTTGCGACAAACATTTACTGGGCATCTACTATGTGCCAAGCGCCGTGTGTAAATATGACACAGCTTCTGCCTTCAAAAAAACTTATTTTCTGTCTAGTTCCATAGTTTCCTGCTGAATTAACAGAAAACTGCACCCTAAAAGCTACTCAGAACTAAGAGCCTATCCAAGAGCCACCAGATTTTAAGAGGAGAATTTGTTAAAATACTCTGACATATCCTGCTATCCACTTAGGCTTCAAAGTTATCACTACCTTTTGAGATGTAATTTACGTAAACTCCTCTCATGGCTCTTCCTCTAGCTTATTCCTTGAAATCAGAGGTCCTGCTCTGAATGGGAAAGAAGCCCACCAGGCAGGTGTTTTTCTTTGGACTTAATAGAGATGGGAACTACAGAGGCGCAGCTACGGGCAGAACTTCCTCACCACTAGTTAAGCAGGGTAAGGAAGATAATGTCTTGTGGTTCTTTCTGGCTCTGCTACTCTGTAGACTAATACAACCTAGAATCCTGTGATTAGATTTTATTTAGAAACTTGAAATATGTTTCACACTGTTCAATTTGTGCCAAGACAGCTAATTCCAGAGCGTCAAGATAAGACAGACGTACAATGCCCCAGTGTTTACAGGGGGCTATTATTCTAACTAGCTTCCTGGAAGCTGTGTGATCCAATGCTTTCAAGACTCAAATCGACGCTATGAAGCATATACCTCTGAAAACACAATGTAGTTAAAATACTACTTAAACTCATTTGATGGATGCGTTCGTAAAAAGTAGTGAATTTTGGTAAATAAAATCCAATCAAACTTTAAGAATATTGAGAGGGTATCCTATTAAAAACAATGTCCTCAGGGACTTCCCTGGTGGTGCAGTGGATAAGAATCCATCTGCCAATGCAGGGGACACAGGTTTAAGCCCTGGTCCAGGAAGATCCCACATGCCTCGGGGCAACTCAGCCCGTGCGCCACAACTACTGAGCCTGCGCTCTAGAGCCCACAAGCCACAACTACCGAGCCCGCGTGCCACAACTAGTGAAGCCCGTGAGCCTAGAGCCCGTGCTCCGCAACAAGAGAAGCCACTGAAATGAGAAGCTCGCGCGCCTAGAGCCCGTGCTCCGCAACAAGAGAAGCCACTGCAATGAGAAGCCCGCGCACCGCAAAAGAGTAGCCCCCACTCACGGCAACTAGAGAAAGCCCGCACGCAGCAATGAAGACCTTAACGCAGCCAAAAATAAAATAAATAAATAAAACCAAAAAAAAAATGGCCTCCATTTTTTAAAGACCCAGAACCCTTTCCTTAGAAAAATAACACAGACACATATGCAAAACAAGTTTCATACAATTTCAGGAGATCCTGTGTCCCAAATAAAGAGTCCATCATCTTGAAGGAACCCACAGTTAAAAGGCACTAACAATCCTTTTTTAAATAAATAAAATTATGAAAGCCTAACTTTTCGGTATTATAAATTTGTATTTTTATATATCAGGTTTATTTAAAGCGGAATTTGCACTTATAATGCAGACTCGTGGCTTAGAACTTTAAGTAAACAGACTCACAGGTGATCATTAACAAGTGCTTGAGACATATCTGTACCTTTCCCAAGAAATTCTTACCAGTGTGTGTTTTCATGTGTTCGTCGAAGTACTGCTTCATGTTGAAATCCTTGCCACACCACTGGCACATGAACTGTTTGTGCCCAATGTGGATGCTCATGTGGGAGCGTAGCTGGTACTTGTACTGAAACCTTTCGTCACAGTTCTGCATTGGACACAGTGGAGATTTTTGAATGCCAAGCATAGCAGCTCTACCTGCGCCCACCCTACATAGCCTGAGATTAGGTATATTTTTCATACTCAAAATAGAACCTGCTTGTGTCAACTATTTGGCTCTGCTATATTTCCGTAGCTGAGTTATAACAAAAGGGAAAATTTCCCAAATAATTATCCCTGGAGTACATCTGACTTCTCTGAATTACTGAGACAAGTAAAATGACTCGTCACGTGTTATTCCCAAACTTAACCTAATCTAAGTGAGTTAACTCTGTGTTAAAAATGACCGCTCTCGGGCTTCCCTGGTGGCGCAAGTGGTTGAGAGTCCGCCTGCCGATGCAGGGGACACAGGTTCGTGCCCCGGTCTGGGAAGATCCCACATGCCGCAGAGCGGCTGGGCCCGTGAGCCATGGCCGCTGAGCCTGCGCGTTCGGAGCCTGTGCTCCGCAACAGGAGAGGCCACAACAGTGAGAGGCCCGCATACCACAAAAAAAAAAAAAAAAAAAAATGACCGCTCTCTATCCAGCAGTGAGGTAACGCAACGCTCAGAGCACGGGTCTGACGGCTCTGGGGAAACGCAGCCTCGTGCCTTGCACGAGGCACACCTCTCTCCCACGGCTCACCACGTAAACATAAGCCAGCCCCCATGCCTGGGCCTGGTGGGCAGCACGTGCCTTACCTCGCATCTGAAGGGCTTCTCTCCAGAGTGCTGCAAGGAGTGCACCTTGAGTGACATACTGCGTTTGAATGACTTTCCACAGGTTTCACAGGTAAATGGCATGTCTTTCGTGTGTGCTGCAACACAGAACGCACTTATACTCAAAAACAGTCCACCCAAGGGCTCAAATGGGAAAAGAGAGATGTCCTGCTGTCAGGTGGTCCTGCCATCTTAATTGACTGTTCTCTAATCTGTGAGGCTTTACCGGCAAAGTTCTGAAGGAATAAATAACAACGTTGCAAAGAAACCTGGGTGTGGAAGGCTCTACCATCCAATTTGGTGATGCTTACCGAAGACATGTTGTATTTAGTTTCAACAAGTCAAAACTGATTCAAATACGGCAGTTCCTCATATCCTGCCCAATCCAAAGTATAAAACACACCAAAAAACGAGGGAAAATTATAGGTGTACGAGAAAAGCAACAGAAAAGACTTACCAACCATGTGTTTCCGTACGTGAGCCATGGTATAGAATTTCTTCTCACAAATTTCACAGGAAAATTTCTTTTCTGCATATCCATGGACGATCTTGATATGTTCGTGAAGGGACCAGAGTTTCTTGAATGATTTATTACAGGAAACACACTGAGCAGGATAAATAGAAATAATCTTTATTTATAGGAGCTTCCAGAAAGCCACGCCTGCTGACTGGCAGCTGAAATGGGTGTGCCTTATTATTATTATTATTTGGCCAAGCTGCACAGCTTGCAGGATCTTAGTTCTCCTGACCAGGGATGGACTGAACCTGGGACACGGCAGTGAAAGCGCCGAGTCCTAACTACTGGACTACCAGGGAAGTCCCAGGAAACGGGTGTGCTTTAGATTCGTGGCACAGGCCAGAATCCAAAACAAATCCACGGAGTCCAGATTCCAACACCAGCGTCCTTATGTTCTATTTTCCAAGATGAATTTTTTTAGAGACACTTTGGGAGTATGAAGACAACGGCAAAACATAAGGCAAAAAGGAAGTTCCACTAATGTCAAAGAACTGACTGAATTAGCGTTATACCTTTGAAAAGAACCTTCAAGTTTTTTTTTTTAATATATGGATTACCAAGAGCAGCTGTTTCCTACACGTGGGTTACTATGCAGTTAATACGTGTTTTCCAGAGAATACAAACTAATTTTAAATTAACATAAATAAAAACAAGATAAAGCGTACGTTAATGGTTATATATCTGTAGAAATAGAACAATGTTTTTGTAGCTTAGAGAATGCACTTGGAGCCTTCATTGACACAAATTATTGAGATTTTATTATATTTTCCCAAATCTAATTTTCTCTATTAAACATTCCCCCCCGGCAGAATTTAATATGACCTCTCAGCTGTTGGCCTCATCCTCCCCTTTCCCGGGGAGCCCAGCTCCGGATCGCTCACATAGGCATCTGCAGGAGACACAGGCGGTCCTGCCTAGTTCCCTGTACGATGGATCATCACTAGTCTAGGCTATCATAACATGTATCAAAATAAAATGGTTAAAAGCAATATTAGGAAGTTCTAGGTAACCATCGGACTCTGGGATGCTGAAGGGAGCAAGTTGTTGTTCACTGTAAATAAAGATCTCTGAACACATTATCCCTTCAGGAAACAAGGACTCTGAGAAGAGTCACAGAGATAAGCCTCCGGTGGGATACTGTTCGAGAGAAGGACAGACAACTCCTATAAGCTATTTTGTAGGGCACGGTTTTAATGTTTACTTGTTACCAGGTCATCAGGATTAGAAATGCAAAAAGAGTTCCTTTAGCAGAATCCACAAAACCTAAATACAAGTTTAAATGAAATTATGGTGAGGAATAGTGAAGAAAGTCACACAAAAAAAGGATTTATTAAATGGTTTCTGTACTTAATGAAGCAAATTTGAGTAAAAAAAAAAAAACTATATAACATCAAGATCAAGATATACCTTTTTCAGCCACGAATCATTACAGAACTAAGTTTGACCCCTAGGGTGCAGCACAGCATTGCACTCCTTTTGGCCTGAACAACAGTTGCAACAGCAACCAATTCAGAACCAGGCCCGGGGCACCAGTAGTTATTGGAGGGTAGGCACCATGATTCAGTCTTCTTTTATTTACCAAGCGTGTCAGAGATCAAGTCACAACTGACGAATCAAAAAGCAGTGAATTTTTAGCAAATATAATTTATATTTTTAAAAAAACCTCTTTAAAGTAAAGCAATGATCTTGGTTGTCGATTAAAAGCAAGAAAGAAACGTGAAAAATAAGGAGCACTCCAAATCAGGAGTATTCCAAGAAACACACTGAAACAAAACAATTTCATCTTCTGAAAGAAGTTTAGCTTAAATATGGTACAAGAAATTTCTATTTTACATATCTTTTGGAGACATTAATAGACTTACCTTTTATGAATATTCATTAATATGCATTCACATGTGCAAACCAACATAGCTCAACATAATATAATTCACTCAACATGATATAATTAGCACACTTCTTAACCTATCACAATATAGTCCTTTCAAGGACTAGCCTGGTTTGGATACCATGTTTTGTTACCTTAACAATACTGCACAGTAGCATTATATAACCCTACTGCCAGGTGGGCAACATTTTCAACCAGCTCAGCCTCGTTTAAAGTCTGCATATTCCCATGGGCTCAGCCTCTTGACAAATTTAGTGTTGTCATCTCTCCACTGGCAAAAAGCAAACTCACTCCTGGAGATCTTCCATTTCCACCAGTCTGATTCATTATGGTTTTTGTCCCCATCAGCTGCACTAGCATCTGGCATCCTTTCAAACCTTAGAAAAGGACCTCTCTCTACTCCTGACCTTTCCTTGATATCTCCCACCTTGACAGAGAAGATGCCAGAATGAATTATATTACATGTCTTACAAGAGTAAATCTCAGTGCAAAGTCGGTGTTGACTTTACCTCCTTGTCAATCACCTATAACAGATCCCCCTTCCAATGTACCTGGGTTCCCACTAGTCCAGCGTCAGTTAAATTTAATGCTTTTGAAAGAAAATGTTAAGGCTGCTTTTGAAAAGACCAAAGCTGGGGCTTTTAAAAAGATAAATTGGTGAAAACTGTCCCTTCGGCCTCTATGGTATTTATTCTCTTGGGCAGATACCAGGTGAGTGTGAACAGCCAGGTTCTATCCTGGAAAGTTTGCCCTCTTGGTGATGAAACCTACCTGAATATTTTTTTCACAGTCTGTTTGCTGGTGAAGGGACAGCTCACTTTCCAGGACAAACTTCTTGCCACACTTATCACAAATCTGCATGCGCCTATGAGTAACGTTCATGTGCTTCTCCAGGTACCAGCGAGTATTAAACACCCTGGGGCACTTCTCACAGGTCAGAGTCTCTTTCTCTTCACACTTAGCTTTCTGGACTGGCGCTTTGGGCTCCTTTGCGGCCCGCTTCTTACGCTTAGGTGGCTCTACACTCTTCCTACGACCTCTTGTAGCTCTGGGAGTAGGGGAAGTGGCAGCTGCGGCAACAGAGGCAGCTCTCCTCGTTCTCCTTTGTGTAACGCTGACCTTCTCCACTATCTTCTCCTTTTTCTTCTGCCTTTCGTTTTCTCCATAGTCATTACTGTCATCCGTGGCCTCTTCCTCACTCTCTTCCTCTTCCTCCTCACTGCTTGTCTTAAGAACAGGAGTCTCTTTGGACTGAGAAGAGACACCCTTTTCCCCTTTAGATACATTTAATGTTTGATTATTAAGGTTTACCTCCACTATGATCTGCTCCCTTTTGTAGGAGACTTCCTCCTCCTCCTCCTCTTCTGTGTCATCAGAATTCTCCCGGTCTTCTTTCACAGCATGCACGTCAGACACTGCTCTTGTCTCCCTGAAATACGGCTGCTCCTCTGTTTCATGGAGATGTGGTTTGCTCATCTTGGTGTCCACTAACACAGAATAAGGACTTCCTGATTCCCTTTTGTACACTTTGGTGGACAGGTCAAGCTCCTGGTTGGCACCATGATAAAAGGTAGGTGGCCCTTGACCACGACGGCTGTCTTCTTGTGCCATCCCTGCTACATGCACAGCACAGTTTTCAACCAGCTCCTGACAAGAACTGACTGTGTGGCTCATTGGTAAGTGGCCTAATTTATGAAGCAGTTCAGACTATAGAGAAATAGCTTTAAAACAGGGTAATTATTAAGACTCAAATCCTTTTCCATCCACAAAGGATCACTCAGATGAAAAAAAAGGTATTCCTGGAACCTGTGTGCAATTCTTCCAGTGTTGCAGCACCAAAGCATAAGTCAAAAGGTTTGGTATTATGGCAAGAGCAGAGCACTAGTGATTTTTCTTTTGAAGAAAGCTGCAAATGACGTGGAGCATCTTATCTGCAAAGAAAAGCAAAGACAAAAAAGATCAGGTATCTCTTATTTCCTTCTTATAGCATGCACTGACATCATACAACAAACATATCTTAAAATGATTAAACTCTTCATATATACAATTCTTTATCCTGCTTAAATGGTTCATTGTGGGCCATCATTTTACTGGGTTACATGAATTCAACAAACATTCTGTTAGAATGTAAATTCTAAGACAGCAGGAGTTTACCTGTCCAGTTCACTGAGGTATTCTTAGAGCTTAGCACAGTGACTACCAGCACTTAGTAGGTGTTCAGTGTATATTTGATGACTAAGTGAATATCTGTTTTTGCATGGCATTCATTATCCTGGACATACTGACATGGCAGAATATATGGTCTGTGTCCCCAAGGAGTTTACAGTCCAGTTACACAATATGTGTTGTCCATGAAACATGTAAGGACCTTATGCTGGCTGGTTTTCTTTTCAATATGAGTCACCACCATCCACCACAGTGAGAGCTCATGGAACAAAGGTAGTAGCGGGCTAGGCACTGTGGACCACGAAAATAAAGCAGCGAATTGACAACTACAGAAGAGAGAGAAACGTCACTGGCCTTAAATAATTTATAATCTAGGTATAGAAATCATTGTTTTCAGGTTTCTTAGAATAATTTCAGAGTGGCTAAGTATTTTTAAATTTGTTCTATGCATAGCTCTCTAGATCCACTCAATGACCAGGTGATTTTTAATGTGTCAGCTGCACAGAAGTCTAAATTCTAAGAAACAGTAACCATAAGGTTGACATGGCTCCAAGAAAAATAAAACCATCCATTAAAAAAAAAAGATGAGAAAGGCACACAATTTGCTTTGTGACATACCTCACATTGCTGCTTAGCCAACCACCTAACCTCTGAGTCATATGAATATCACTGCAAGCACATACCCTATTGATTGACAAAAGGAAGGAAACGAGTATTTACTGAATACCTGCTATGTGCACAGAATTGTAAAGGTGCTCATTATTTATTATTTTTAGTTAATATTCACTACAAAACTTTGGGGTTGACTTTTTTTTTTTTTTTTTTGCAGTAAGCGGGCCTCTCACTGCTGTGGCCTCTCCTGTTGCGGAGCACAGGCTCCGGACGCACAGGCTCAGCGGCCATGGCTCACGGGCCCAGCCGCTCCGCGGCATGTGGGATCTTCCCGGACCGGGGCACGAACCCGTGTCCCCTGCATCGGCAGGCGGAGTCTCAACCACTGCGCCACCAGGGAAGCCCTGGGGTTGATTTTTAAACTTATTTTAAATTTTTTATCAAAGTAATCACTCAAAAAAATCATACATAGTTTTACAAGTCAAATATACTGCAACGTTTATAAAAAAGCAGCCATCCTCTGCCTGCTCCATCCCATCTGAGTCCCATACCTGAGACAAAAGTGTTCCTTTTAGCTGTTCCTCTTCCCCTTCCCCTTGTATTCTTCTTCTTTTTTAAAAATTTATTATTTAAAAAAATTTTTAAATTTATTTTTCATACAGCAGGTTGTTATTAGTCATCCATTTTATACACATCAGTGTATACATGTCAATCCCAATCTCCCAGTTCATCACACCACCACCCTCACCCCCCGCCGCTTTCCCCCCTTGGTGTCCATACGTTTGTTCTCTGCATCTGTGTCTCAATTTCTGCCCTGCAAACCGGTTCATCTGTACCATTTTTCTAGGTTCCACATATATGCGTTAATAGACGATATTTGTTTTTCTCTTTCTGACTTACTTCACTCTGTATGACAGTCTCTAGACCCATCCACGTCTCTACAAATGACCCAATTTCGTTCCTTTTTATGGTTGAGTAATATTCCATTGTATATATGTACCACATCTTCTTTATCCATTCGTCTGTCGATGGGCATTTAGGTTGCTTCCATGTCCTGGTTATTGTAAATAGAGCTGCAATGAACATTGTGATACATGACTCTTTTTGAAATTATGGTTTTCTCAGGGTAGATGCCCAGTAGTGGGATTGCTGGGTCATATGGTAGTTCCATTTTTAGTTTTTTAAGGAACCTCCATACTGTTCTCCATAGTGGCTGTATCAATTTATATTCCCACCAACAGTGCAAGAGGGCTCCCTTTTCTCCACACCCTCTCCAGCATTTATTGTTTGTAGATTTTTTGATGATGCCCATTCTAACTGGTGTGAGGTGACACCTCATTGTAGTTTTGATTTGCATTTCTCTAATAATTAGTGATGTTGAGCAGCTTTTCATGTGCCTCTTGGCCATCTGTATGTCTTCTTTGGAGAAATGTCTATTTAGGTCTTCTGCCCATTTTTGGATTGGGTTGTTTGTTCTTTTAATATTGAGCTGCATGAGCTGTTTATATATTTTGGAGATTAATCCTTTGTCCGTTGATTTGTTTGCAAATATTTTCTCCCATTCTGAGGGTTGTCTTTTCGTCTTGTTTATGGTTTCCTTTGCTGTGCAAAAGCTTTTAAGTTTCATTATGTCCTATTTGTTTTTTTTGTTTTTATTTCCATTACTCTAGGAGGTGGATCAAAAAAGATCTTGCTGTGATTTATGTCAAAGAGTGTTCTTCCTATGTTTTCCTCTAAGAGTTTTATCGTGTCTGGTCTTACATTTAGGTCTCTAATCCATTTTGAGTTTATTTTTGTGTATGGTGTTAGGGAGTGTTCTAATTTCATTCTTTTACATGTAGCTGTCCACTTTTCCCAGCACCACTTACTGAAGAGACTGTCTTTTCTCCATTGTATATCCTTGCCTACTTTGTCATAGATTAGTTGACCATAGACGCATGGGTTTATCTCTGGGCTTTCTATCTTGTTCCATTGATTTATGTTTCTGCTTTTGTGCCAGGACCATACTGTCTTGATTACTGTAGCTTTGTAGTATAGTCTGAAGTCAGGGAGTTTGACTCCTCCAGCTCCATCTTTTTCCCTCAAGACTGCTTTGGCTATTCAGGGTCTTTTGTGTCTCCATACAAATTTTAAGATTTTTTGTTCTAGTTCTGTAAAAAACGCCATTGGTAATTTGATAGGGATAGCATTGAATCTGCAGATTGCTTTGGGTAGTATAGTCATTTTCACAATATTGATGCTTCCAATCCAAGAACATGGTATATCTCTCCATCTGTTGGTATCATTTTTAATTTCTTCCATCAGTGTCTTATAGTTTTCTGCATACAGGTCTTTTGTCTCCCTAGGTAGGTTTATTCTTTTCTTTTTTTTCTAAATTTATTTGTTATTTTTATTTTTGGCTGTGTTCGGTCTTTGTTGCCGTGTGCGGGCTTCTCACTGCAGTGGCTTCTCTTGTTGCGGAGCACAGGCTCTAGGTGCATGGGCTTCAGTAGTTGTGACACGCGGGCTCAGCAGTTGTGGCCCACGAGCTCTAGAGCACAAGCTCAGTAGTTGTGGCACACAGACCTAGTTGCTCCGTGGCACGTGGGATCTTCCTGGGCCAGGGCTCGAACCCGTGCCCCTGCATAGGCAGGCGGATTCTTAACCACTACGCCACCAGGGAAGCCTCGGTAGGTTTATTCTTAGGTATTTTATTCTTTTTGTTGCAATGGTAAATGGGAGTGTTTCCTTAATTTCTCTTTCAGATTTTTCATCATTAGTGTATAGGAATGCAAGAGACTTCTGTGTATTAATTTTGTATCCTGCAACTTTACCAAATTCATTGATTAGCTCTAGTAGTTTTCTGGTGGCATCTTTAGGATTCTCTATGTATAGTATCATGTCATCTGCAAACAGTGACAGTTTTACTTCTTCTTTTCCAATTTGGCTTCCTTTTATTTCTTTTTCTTCTCTGATTGCTGTGGCTAGGACTTCCAAAACTATGTTGAATAATAGTGGTGAGAGTGGACATCCTTGTCTTGCTCTTGATCTTAGAGGAAATGCTTTCAGCTTTTCACCATTGAGAATGATGTTTGCTGTGGGTTTGTCGTATATGGCCTTTATTATGTTCAGGTAGGTTCCCTCTATGCCCACTTTCTGGAGAGTTTTTTATCATAAATAGGTGTTGAATTTTGTCAAAAGGTTTTTCTGCATCTACTGAGATGATCATACGGTTTTTACTCTTCAATTTGTTAATATGGTTTATCACATTGATTGATTTGCATATATTGAAGAATCCTTGCATCCCTGGGATAAATCCCACTTGATCATGGTGTATTATCCTTTTAATGTGTTGTTGGATTCTGTTTGCTAGTATTTTGTTGAGGATTTTTGCATCTATATTCATCAGTGGTATTGGTCTGTAATTTTCTTTTTTTGTAGTATCTTTGTCTGGCTTTGGTATCAGGGTGATGGTGGTCTCATAGAATGAGTTTGGGAGTGTCCATTCCTCTGCAATTTTTTGAAAGAGTTTGAGAAGGATGGGTGTTAGCTCTTCTCTAAATGTTTGATAGAATTCACCTGTGAAGCCATCTGGTCCTGGTCTTTTGTTTGTTGGAAGATTTTTAATCACAGTTTCAATTTCATTGCTTGTGATTGGTCTGTTTCATATTTTCTATTTCTTCCTGGTTCAGTCTTGGAAGGTTACACCTTTCTAAGAATTTGTCCATTTCTTCCAGGTGGTCCATTTTATTGGCATACGTTGCTTGTAGCAGTCTCTTAGGATGCTTTGTATTTCTGCGGTGTCTGTTGTAACTTCTCCTTTTTCATTTCTAATTTTATTGATTTGAGTCCTCTCCCTCTTTTTCTTGATGAGTCTGGCTAATGGTGCATCAATTTTGTTTATCTTCTCAAAGAACCAGCTTTTAGTTTTATTGATCTTTGCTATTGTTTTCTTTGTTTCTATTTCATTTATTTCTGCTCTGACCTTTCTTTCTTTCTTTCTTTCTGCTAACTTTGGGTTTTGTTTGTTCTTCTTTCTCTACTTCCTTTAGGTGTAAGGTTAGATTGTTTATTTGAGATTTTACTTGTTTCTTGAGGTAGGTTTGCATTGCTATAAACTTCCCTCTTAGAACTGCTTTTGCTGCATCCCATAGGTTTTGGATCATCGTGTTTT